CTCCACACAGAAAGGACCCTGGTCACCCGGCTGGGAATCGAACCCAGGCCCTTCTTGCTGCCCTTAAATGATATTATAAAGCATATTAATGAAATTGACATTAACAGTTGGTAAAGCTATAGTCGATGTGTGATATTTTTATTTGCTGCACTGGACGAGAAATAATTTGTCAGTGTTTAACACACAGTCTTATGTTAGTTTTCATATATAATTTGATGTGTGTGTATCTATCAGTTGAGCTGTCTGTCTGTCTTATAGATAGATAATATCTAACTCGGTATGGTAGGAAAATATATGTGTTTCTCATAACAGAGAATTGTATTGAATTAACTTTGTTTGCACTAATTCATCAGACTTTTCTAGCAAGTCTTAAACTGACCCTCTGTCTGTTACAGTGAACCCACCCATGGGCTAAACTGTAACACTGCACTTCCCCTCATTTTGGGTGGAACGGTACATGAACGGAAGGTGCTAGAAAGAAAGATTAAGTGTTCATTTATAGCAGAGATGTATGTGTTGCTTGTATAAAAATATGATTATTCCAACTTTAATATTTTGAAAGTTATTCAACAAAAATAAAAACAATCAGTCACCCACATGTACAAGAGTTTCATAGGTGTGTTCCAGTGTATTTCACCCTTAATGGCCCCCCATGGAAATCCCACTCTCTCACCTCCCGCGCTCTCTTTGTTCTGTACAGTTTAAGACCCTTTGTGTGTCTCCAGCGGCTGCGTGCCGTCTCCTTCGCGTGACTGACCGAGCAGATTTAGGAGCTGTGTCCCGAGCACCGGGGCCCACCCCTCTGCGCAGGAGAGCGGCAGAGCTTGCGCTTTCTCACGCGAACACCGCGCAGCTCAGTGGGGCCACGTACCGGGCCCACAAAAGAGGGGGTGGGGGTCGAAGTCCAAGAGCATGCAGGACAGGACAGTGCATGAGGAGAGTGTGCGGGGCACCTGGCTGAAGGAGCTTCTGGATAAACTCTGGCAGAGAAATACATGCAAATGGGTGCTATTGCAGGGTCATATACGAGCATGGCTGACCACCAGCAAAACCAGAGTATGGTATGTTTTGGTATGGCTGGTAAGCTGGTCAACCAGCTAAATCAGCACCAGACCAGCATAAATCAACATAAACCCACATAAACCAGCAATTTGTGAAGAAAATAAAAAAGGAGGTCCTTTTAGAAGCTCTGAGAGTTTGTGATTGATTTTGTTATTTAGCTGTAGACACAATCACCAGATCTCAACTGCTGCATTTCAGATATGCCATGTAATGAAGGTCTGCCTGTTTTGACAGACGGGGGCTGAACATGTGAAATCTCTTTCTGCTTAATAAAGAATTCAATGGTAATAAATATTTGGTGTTAACATCCTCACTTTATCTTCCATTTCCTCACTGACATGACTGGGTATAGGAGTATTAATGCAGACTGTAAAGGGCTATTTCTCTAAATTTGTGCACTAATAGGTCTAATGCAGTAACAGGTCTATAGCGCTAAAATGTTTATGCAAGAACAGACCTATAACACTGACAGATTTATACACCAACAGGGCTATGGTACTAATAGGTCTATGGCACGAACAGGGCTATGGTACTAATAGGTCTATGGCATGAACAGGGCTATGGGACTAATAGGTCTATGGCACTAACAGGGCTATGGTACTAATAGGTCTATGGCATGAACAGGGCTATGGTACTAATAGGTCTATGGCACTAACAGTGCTATGGTACTAATAGGTCTATGGCACTAACAGGGCTATGGGACTAATAGATCTATGGCACTAACAGGGCTATGGTACTAATAGGTCTATGGCACGAACAGGGCTATGGGACTAATAGGTCTATGGCACGAAAAGGGCTATGGTACTAATAGGTCTATGGCACTAACAAGGCTGTGGTACTAATAGGTCTATGGCACTAACAAGGCTATGTTACTAATAGGTCTATGTAGAAATAGGTCTATGGCACTAACATATCTATGTACTAACAGGTCTATGGCACTAACATCTATGTACTAACAGGTCTATGGCACTAACATTTCTATGTACTAACAGGTCTATGGCACTAACATTTCTCTGCACTGAAAGGTCTTTGTTCTAACAGGTCTATGCACTAAAAGGTCTATGTGTCAATAGCACTAACAGGTCTATGTGCTAACAAGTTTGTGGCACTACCAGGTCTATGTACTAACAGGTCTATGGCACTAGCATATAGATATTCAGTCTATATTTACTCAGATTTGTTTGATGTGAATTGATACCTTGTAGAGAAACCAGTTAAAATTTATTTAAAGTGGTGATTATTATTATTATTATTATTATTATTATTATTATTATTATCCAAAAGAAAAACTATAATAAAACAATATCAGACAGCATATTCATAATCTTTTATGTAATAACTTTCTGTGATGGAGCTTTTAGAGGCATTAGACTCTTCAGACGTCTGGTTCCCATCACCACCACTGTGAGCAGCGCTATGAATAGATTTGTTTTAACTTTGATGATTAATTTATGCAGGAATTTAGAAAATCCGGTGGAATTCCCCTTTCACCTCAACCCACGTTTCAGCCCAAAGCCTAACCCTCACCCCTGATGTTGGGTCTAATCCTGATCTTGAGGCTGCTGAGTATCAGCTACAGCCCGTGACTGATAATCTTAATGTAAATGATCTCGCGAAGAGGCGCTGTAGGTGGCCGTGAGCTCGTGCTCACCTGTCTCGAGCAGGAGATGATGAATGAATGATTGTGTGTGTGTGTGTGTGTGTGTGTGTGAACTCGGTTAACCCCCTTCCCCCGCCCCAGCATCCTCACGCGCGCGGGCTCCGCTCACTCTCGCGCTCTCACGCAACCTGGCCAATGTTTAACCCGCGCGCCAGAGGTGCGCGCACTCGAGCGGCGAAATAAAAGAAAGAATCTAATAAACAGGTAACGAGTTTCACACGAACTTCATCAGACAGTCTGATATCTCTGTATCGCTGGATTCGGAGACCCTACAGCTCAGACAGGCTGGCACGGAGCCAAAGACCCTTCAGAGTCGCAGCCAGACAGAAAGACAGACACTGAAGCGGCTCTTCGCTTAATCCATGTTAGACTCCATTCAGCCTGGTTTATTTTCAGTGTGGGTAAATGTTCCCTCAAAGCTCCAACAGTGGTTTTAAGGTCTGACTGTGAACCTTAAATAAGTTTTTCCAGGTGAAAAGTTCGTATTTGTATCTTTTCATAACCGAATGTTTTAAAACAGAACAGTAAAATAAAAGCCTGGAGACGAGACGGGGTGCGTGGAGTCAGTACAGCTTAGAACATATCATTCAGTGGATTATGGTTCAGTTATGTTCCCTGACTAAAGGTACTGTGATGGAGCCTTGAGGGGACCACCCCAGTGACAAGAGGGGAACTGCACCAGAGACAGTTTCATACCTTTATTTCTGAAAGAAATAAAGAAAGAAAATACACGACCCAGCTCCCACTTCAGATCACAGCCTCCCCTCCGCGCGCTGCTGCTCTGACTGTGAGCTGTGATCAGAGTAGCTGTGAGTTCCATCATACGGAATATTTCAATCTTTCGTCTATAAAACACCTCCTAAAAAGAGACGGGAGCTTATTTATTTATTTATTTATTTATTTAGACATTTCATTAATTAACTGATTCAGTAATGTACTCATTCATTCACTTAGGTCTGTGCAACGGGTCTTCATTCTGTGCTGTAGGCTTTATTCAGCACTATTTATTTATTTATTTATTTATTTCAGTACTCTGAATTGTCATTAATTAATTGACTCATCCATATGTAAACTTATTCATTTATTTAGGTAGTTAGATAGTTAGTTACTTAGTTTATATTTATTTATTTATTTATTTATCTGTTTATCTATCTATGTATTTATTTATTTATTTATTTATTTATTTATTTCAGTACTCCGAATTGTCATTAATTCATTAATTCATCCATATGTAAATTCATTAATTCATTTAGTTAGTTAGTTAGATAGGAAGTTAGTTAGTTTATTAATTTAATTGTTTGTATATTTATTTATTTCAGTCAAAGTTAATTTATTGACTCATTAATGTGTTCCTTCATTCACTTGGTTGATAAATTTGATTAATTAATTAATTTATTTATTTATTTATTTATTCATTTGCTCGACCTCTCTTTATTTAAATCATTAATTAACATGTTATTCGTTCATTTAATGACTGTATTAAATGTTTCTTTATCTGTTTGATTATTCACTCTGAAACAGAGCTAATTAAATACTTCATTCATTCATTCATTCATTTATTCATTCATTCATTCATTTGGTCATTTACTTGTTTGTTTGTTTATTTGTTGTTTGTTCACTCCAAAGTGTAAAACAATAATGTAAAATAATAATTAATTCATGAAAGCGTTTATACCTTATTAAGTTTATTTATTTATTTGATCATTCATTTATTTGTTTGTTTGTTTGTTTATTTGTTATTTCTTACCTACTTTTTCCGGATCCTCATTCATTTTCTTGGCAGCTCAAGCCTTTTATTGATGTGTTGATGATGATCACTGTTAGTGTCTGTTATATATGTGAGTTTTTAGGAGCAGTTATTGTGTGTGTTATTGTGTGTTATTGTGTGTTATTGTGTGTGTTATTGTGTGTTATTGTGTGTGTTATTGTGTGTGTTATTGTGTGTTATTGTGTGTTATTGTGTGTGTTATTGTGTGTTATTGTGTGTGTTATTGTGTGTTATTGTGTGTGTTATTGTGTGTGTTATTGTGTGTTGTTGTGTTGTGTTACTGTGCTGTGTTATACTCTGAGCGCTCTGTTTGGGGAGGTGGTCTCTCGTTACTGCTTTACAGACCCTCTGTCGCGCGTTTCTGCGCCGCTCGCGCTTCTCACGCGATTCTCTCTCCGCCCCGCGCGGTGGGTGCAGCAGGTGAGATGCGCGCTCTCTAACCCTCACACCTCAAACGCTCCGCCGCCGTGACGTCACCGGGAGCGCAGCCAATGGCGCGAGGAGCCGCTCTATAAAAGATTTACTCCTTCAACTACAGCAACACTTCAAACAAAGATCAACAAATTGACCAGCACTGCTCACCTGCGCACACGAGCCAGTCTGCGCGCGCTGCTGGAGGTAAGCTGAGCATTTACTCATTTAGTAATTAATGCATTTATTTATTTATTTATTTATTTATTCTTTATTGGTAAAGCTGGTCTTCAATGGGCTTTTGATGAGCCCGCCAGCAGGCGCGCTCAGTGACTGAGGGCTCTGCACTGAGCACTATTTAACTCTCTCCATGCAAAGCACAGTAGATCAGATCTATCTATCTATCTATCTATCTATCTATCTATCTATCTCAGCTTGGTGAAAAGTTTAGGATTAGGCTTAGGTTTTGGTTATTGGGCTATAAGTTGAGGGTTTAGGGAAAAGTTAAGCATCTAAAGTGGACTAAAAGTCCCATCTGTCCTTGCTGAAGGCATATAGGTGTCAATGCAACAGGTTTTCATCCTGTGCTGTAGGCGTTTGTTCAACACTGTAGCTTTTAATGCAAAACTGTAAGTGTTTGAGTGCCTCTGGTCAAATGACAGGTTTTGTTGATTAGTTAAATTAACACGTCCTTTACAGGGGGCAAAATTAAATATGGCATTTTTCTGCAAATCTTGGTGCAAAACTGAGTTGAGCATATTGAACATAAAAAACCAAGGTGCCAAATCTTTTGCACAGGCCAGATTTCATGTTTTATTTTTGTTAAATTCAGCAAATAAGCAGTAACTGTGCATTAAAATGTGTAGAAGTGTGCTCCCTATAGGGGATACGTTATGTCACCTGGGGCGCCCAAACTTTTGCATGCGACTGTAATTGTATCCTGTTCCATTGCAATTATAAGCGCAGTTGCATTTGACTCCCTGCAGGCCGACTCCAGGCTTTTTGTTTTCCTTTTCTATCTAAAAAAGTTAGGAAATGGTACAAATATGGGTTTTTCCCCTTGGAAAGTGAATGTAGTTTGCCTTTAAATCGCATTTAAGGTGCATGCTGGACCACTGAGGGGTACATTTACATTGTGCTGCAACAAAATGCTGACTCTGCACTTTTTGACAATGAATGAAAATGCAATAAACAGTAATCATGCATCAAATTTCAAATTTCAATCAAATAGAGGGTGTGTTCACTTATTTTCATTTACAAAATCAACAACACAGGTCACTGGACCGGGGCGCACAAACTTTTGCACACGACTGGAACTGCGTCCTATTCCGCCGCAGTAAAAATTGCAGTGACTTTATAGTGATTTGTATGTTTAAATGGGCACGTATTAGATGTTACAGGTGTCTGATCAATGCAGCAGGTGTTGAAGGGGAATTCCACCCATTTTTCAAAATATATGCATAATTTAGTGTTTAAGACCTAAACAGAGTCATAGAGAGGTTTGATTTCTAGGGAAACTTACTGTCTCCGATTTGTTTGCATTGCAACTCTTCAGACCTCCACTGTGAACGATTCTGATTTGGAAAGCTTCTCTTGAATGGAGCATTTCGTACCTAACCGCTCTGATTGACTTTGTTTATATCTTACAACTTATAATAAAGATTATGCCGAAATTTAGAAATATTGGTGGAATTTCCCTTTAATCCAACTCTCTATGCATTCATTCAACACCAGTGCAATGCTGTAGGCCCTCATTCAGTGCTGTAGGTGTTAGTTCAGCATTATATGTGTTTGCCTTTAAAGATGTAATAAGATGGTTTCTCAAGGGTTCTTCAGTAAAATCAATAATTCTATCTAGAACCATGAGTGCTATATAGAACAATTTCATGCTTAAATGGTCCTTTGCATGGTGAAATGGTTCTTTGGATTGATGGAGAATGTGATGTATATCTATATAGAAACTTTTTGAAAATGGTTCTGTTTAGCACCAAAATGGGTTCTTCTGTTGTTACAATGTCAAGCTTGTCTGTGTTTGTTCAATGCTGATTATTCAGCACTGCAGGTCTTCATTCAGTATTAATGCAGCACTGTAGATCTGCTCATCATTCAGAGACGTTTCTCCTTTCCTTCCCAGTTTCTCACTAAAGAGGCTGCTGAAAACAGAGAAAACATGCCGGTGGCAGTTCTACCATTCTTCGGCCCTATCTCCGTGTCAGAGAGCCTGGTTGCCATGGTGACAGTGTGCACGGTGTACCTCCTCCTGCGTCTGACCCGGACCAGGATCCCTGAGGGTCTTCAGATGCTCCCGGGCCCCCAGTCCCTCCCCATTATCGGGAACGTGCTGGAGCTGGGCCAGAACCCTCACCTCAGCCTGACCGCCATGAGCAAGCGCTACGGCCCAGTTTTCCAGATCAGGATCGGCATGCGCCCCGTGCTGGTGCTGAGCGGCGGCGAGGCGGTGCGGCAGGCGCTCATCAAGCAGGGAGAGGAGTTCGCCGGACGCCCCGACCTGTACAGGTAAACAAAAACAAACAAGTGAACCCACCATCAGTTATTACTTGAAAAAATAACAATTGATTGTATTTATGTATTGATTCTAATGGGTCTCATTTCCATCTATAGTACCTCAGCACAGTTGGTGCTAAAAGTAAAAAAGAGGAACTAGTGTTGAAAAAGTCAGCTTAAAGGGAAATTCCACATTATTTTCAAACTTTTCTGTATAATTCAGAGGTTCAAATGCAAACAAAGTCATTCACAGTGGTTTGGTGTGAAACGGTTCATTGTAGAAAAACTTACAGACTCAGATGTCTTTACAGTGGTGGTGATAGGAACCAGGGGTCACCATGACTACAATACAAATATAGCAATTTTATTTACTATCTAAAACCACCAGTGAATCTACACAAGTTTTATATGTAATATTGATGATAAACAGTCTGACAAGGAGGTTTTCTTTGGGGACTATTTTGCCTTACAACACCCTGCATTTGTGCCTAAACCAGAAATGGATTTTAAAAGTACATTTTATGCCAAATCCATTGCTTTTAGAAACAGATGTCTGGTTCCTACCACAAACAATTCTGACTTGGTAAGTTTCTTTAGAACGACACATTCCGCATCAAACGACTCTGAATGACTCCACAACCACAGTATATATTGTTGACACAGCAATGAGACAGCAATTCATGTATGATGAGCATAATGGAACAAGTAAAATGACCACAGCCTGATAAGGCTCATGAAAGGCGCTATATATAAAAAAAATTACTATAATTTTTATTCTTATTATTACAGTTTACGAATCGTCAATGATGGTAAAAGCCTGGCCTTCAGCACAGACCAAGTCGGAGTGTGGCGCACTCGCCGTAAGCTGGCCCTCAACGCCCTGCGTACTTTCGCCACTGTGGCAGGCCAAAGCCCGGAGTATGCCTGCGCCCTTGAGGAGCACATCAGCAAAGAGGGGCTGTACCTGGTGGAGAGGCTGTGCAAGGTGACAAAGGCCAGCGGTGGCTTCGACCCCTTCCGCCACATTGTGATGTCCGTGACCAACGTCATCTGCGGCATGTGCTTCGGCCATCGCTACAGCCACGACCACCAGGAGCTGCTGAGCGTGGTCAACATGAGCGACGAGTTCGGCCAGGTTGCAGGCAGTGGCAACCCGGCTGACTTCATCCCCTTCCTCCGCTTCCTGCCCAGCAAGACCATGAACAAGTTTGTGGACATCAACAGGCGCTTCAATGCATTTGTGCAGAGGATCGTTAGACAGCACTACGATACCTACGATAAGGTCAGTCCCTCTCTAAAGTAGTGGTGCCCAGCTCCTGTCCTTGAGATCTCCTGTCCATGCAGAGCAGGTCAGTGGTCTCCAACCTTGGTCCTGGAGAGCTACCTCCTTGCAAAGGTTACTTCCAACCTGTATCCAGTATCCCCTTACTGAACTCTAGTACATCTGATCCAGCCAATCAGGGACTTAGGAAGAGGATGATTAGCTGGAGCAGGTGTGGCAAATTGTGGTTGGAACTAAGCTCTGCAGGTAGGTAGCTCTCCAGGATCAGGGTTGGAGACCACTGGTTTAGATCCATGGTTAGAAAGTTCGTAGTGCCTAAAAAAAGACTTGCAAAGTAAATAATGTGCTTGAAAGGTTAATTCCAGCAATCATAAGTTGTCTTGATATAGTATGTTTTATTTATGTGAAAATAATGTTTGTTAGGAGTGAATGTCTCATTATGATCCAGGCTGATTCCAATCATGCATCCCTCAAAGTAATATAGAATATTAGTCCTTGGCTTGCTCCCCTGTCTATAGGCCTCCTTATGATGGCCCTGGTTCCCATCCTACCACACCCGACTCTCTTCAGGGTGGTGGATCTCCAGAACCACTATCTACAGCACTGAATGTTCCTCTATAAAGGTGGATGTTCATGCTGTCTGTATCTTGCAGAACAACATTCGTGACATCACGGACTCCCTCATCAATCACTGCGAAGACAGGAAGTTGGACGAGAACTCTAACTTGCAGGTTTCCGACGAGAAGATTGTGTCGATAGTGAATGACCTCTTTGGGGCCGGTGAGTAAGAATGCAATCACTCAGGCTTATCTTGCCTATATTTCTCATTACAATGTTCGAGACTGTATTATATTTTTAGACCATTTCTTTTAGATTTTTTTAATCTTTTTTTTTTTTGGAACATTTATATCGGTCCAGTTTTGGAGCTTTTCTGTTGGCCCATTCGTCAAAGCAAGATTGTACTGTAATTTTGGACTATTTGTATTGATTCATTCTTCATAACAAGATGAAGCCTGGACCTTTTCAAACAGACCTTTTCAATCGGTCCATTCATCATAAAATCTTCACACAGTGAAAAAACAGTGACAACAAAGATTGTATGCACCACACATACGGCATCTGATCATTGACGCCTCTACAGCCCTTCACTCACACACCTTTACTCTCATATCTTTACAGGCTTCGACACCGTCAGCACTGCTCTGTCTTGGTCTGTTGTGTATCTGGTGGCTTATCCGGAGATTCAGGAGAGGCTCTACCAAGAGCTGAGTAAGCACAGTTCATATTCCTCTCTGAAATATAGCACAGAAAGATCTATAGATTTATCAACAGATTGTAAAAAAAGGTTAAAATGGAATTTATTTATTTATTTGTTTATTTATTTATTTGTCTTGTTGAGCCATATCATTATGTCCTGTTTTAATAAATGTTATTATTGGAATTAATATTTATTTATTATTTTTAAGCAGTATTTTTTTTTTTTGACAGTGCGTTCTTCTTCTTCATCTTCTTCTTTTTGGTTCACAGTTTTTTGTCCACTCATTTTTTGAGATATAAACACCATTCCAACTCCAGAATGTTTGATCTGATTGAGAATGGTGTGATTGCATGCAGCTTTTTGATTGGACGCACGTTTCTTGTAAAATTATCGTTATACAATGATTTTTGTTTCCCTTAGGAATGAATGGGGTGCGAAAGTTTGTGCACCCAATTTATGTCACGTTGATAAAAGTCTGTTAATAATACTTTACTCACCATGTGGGGCAACCACCTAGCAACACCCTAGAAATCTCCTAGCAATACCCTAGCAACAACCTAGCAATATCTTAGCAACACACTAGCAACCACATGGGATACCATAGCAACCACCTACCAACACTCTAGCAATGTCCTAGCAATACCCTAGTAACAACCTAGCAACAACCTGGCAATATCTTAGCAACACCCTAGCAACGCCCTAGCAACCACCTGGGATACCATAGCAACCACCTACCAACACTCTAGCAATGTCTTAGCAATACCCTAGTAAAAACCTAGCAACAACCTGGCAATATCTTAGCAACACCCTAGCAACGCCTTAGCAAGACACTAGCAACCATCTAGCAACACACTAGCAACCACCTGGGATACCATAGCAACCACTTATCAACACCTTTGCAAGCACCTAAAATACCATTCTAAATGTTCGGCAACACCCTAGTGACCACTAACCATTCAGCAACACCCTAGCAACCACTATCACCCTAGCAATCGCCTGGGATACCATAGCAACCACTTATCAGCACCTTTCAACCACCTAAAATACCATAATAACCATTCTGCAACACCCTAGCAACAGCTAACTGTTCGGCAACACCCTAGCAACCACCTGGAAACTGCCTAAGCTGCGCAATCCCTCTACATGTTCTCCAGGAAAAGCACTTTATATATTTTCTTGCCTGTTCAGTGTTTTTTTTTCTTGATTTTCTTTTCTCTTGCTTCCTATTCATTTAGTCGTTGTACAGAACGCAGAATGTTTGTAAAGAAGGTACATTTAAAGGTTTGCAAGGTACTTCAAAAATGAAGTCTATTATCATTTATTACAAGTTACGAATGACTGACTGAAGATACAGATTAATGACTGAAGTGCTCTTCTCTCTACAGAGGAGAAGGTCGGAACAGATCGCACACCTCGTCTGTCGGACAAAACCAGCCTGCCGCACCTCGAGTCTTTCATTCTGGAGACCTTCCGTCACTCCTCCTTCCTCCCTTTCACCATCCCACACTGGTGCGTCACATATTTATGCATTTATTTGCCAAATTTGGCCAAAAACAAATGTACAGTATAGGTGTTTGTTGATGCTTCACACTCTGTAGTGGAGATTTAGTCCTTATGCTTTCGTTTACAGCACCACGAAAGACACATCGCTGAACGGATACTTCATTCCTAAAGACACATGTGTGTTCATTAACCAGTGGCAAATAAACCACGACCCGTAAGTCGCTCATTACTTTATCAGTCCTAAATGGGGGGGTCAGTGTGATGCTGGCAGACTGAAACTAGGCTAGTGGTGTCTGGCAGTCAGTGGACTTGGCTATGAAAGGTTAGACGCCAGGTGATATTTTTTCCTGCTAAAGTCACTGTGCTCCAGTGCAATACACTTCAAGTTCCTCTAGGGGCACTGTAGCATACCTGAACCCAGAATTAGAAGCTTTAGTTCAGTCTAGAGCAAGAGAACCTTTGGCCTACAATATGTTTGTGCCATACAAGATCCAACTGATCAGGTAGTTAAAGGAATACTCCAGCATGTTTTCAACCTCATCTCTATCTCTGTGTCTTATCATACTGTTCATTATAACAGGGAAAGACTTTGACGTTTCCTTGTATTCAGAAATTCTAATCCCACTCATAACAGAAGCCAATGGGCAGTTGCTGAAATCCAAAAATAAGTATTTGAAATGCTACTTAATGCAAAATAGAACCACAACCTTTAGCAAGCAATATGATGGATTCTTCCCTCTCGACAATTAGTCCCATCTCTGAAAGAATGCTTTGTACATGTATAGTTTTACAGCTGTATGCAACCGTTTGAATATCTCAGGGCAAACTATAGGTGAAAATAAGTTAACATATCCTCTAAAGGGTGTACATGTAAATATGGCATTTTCTGCTAATTTTAGTTCACAATTTTTCCACCTTTCTTTCTAAAAATAAATTTTGCACAGGCCGCAATTTATTTTCATTTATATTTCTCCACCCAATATATGTTAAATTCAGCAAATAAACAGTATATATACAAATGTAGTTTTTCTACTTTGCAAATCAACAAAATGTAATTTGACCTGGGGTGCCCAAACTTTTGCACATGAAAGTATCCTACAAAAACACAGGCAGCCAAGCTTATTCAGAATGAGTTCCATTTTTAATTATGTTACAGAGGGAGGTGAATGTAGTGTTAGGAGTCTTGCCCAAGGACTCTTATTGGTGAATTAAGATGGGCTGGGAATCAAACCCCAGTCTGCCACGTGGAGGACAGTAGTGTGACCCACAACACCAAACACTACATTTTTGCATTTTATGGCATTTGGCAGATGATCTTATCCAGAGCGACTTACAATTTGATCATTTTACACAGGTAGGCGAAGGTAGCATTCGGAGTCTTGCCCAAGGACACCTATAGGTATAGTGTAGGGTGCTTGCAGGCAGGAGATTGAACACCAGTCTACAGCATAGAAGGCAGCTGTGTTACCCACTACACTATACCAACCACTAAATGCATAAATAAACAGTAATGTTTACTGATGCTCAGCAACTGCCCATTGACTTCTAGTATAGGTTTGAATGTCCCAGTATTATACACAATATGTTGTATATGTTATTGTAGTTTAGAGGTTTGATTAATGACTTCAATTCAATATTTCCTGCAGAGAGGAGTGGAAGGAGCCCTCCTTGTTCAACCCACACCGCTTCCTGAGTGCCGACGGCTCCGAGCTCAACAAGGCCGAAGCTGAGAAGGTCATGGTGTTCGGCCTGGGTAAACGGCGCTGCATCGGCGAAGCCATCGGCCGCTCCGAAGTCTTCCTCTTCCTCGCCATCCTCATCCAGAGGTTAAAGTTCAGCAGCCTGCCAGGTGAAATGCCAGACATGACCCCTGAGTACGGCCTCACCATGAAGCACAAGCGCTGCATGTTGCGCACCACTCCACGGCCAGGCTTCGAGATGTCCAGCCCGTAGAGTCTGCAGTGAGCCGTAGGCCGCGTAGTTCAGGGAAGCTAACGAGAGTCGCTTCTGTTACTGTGACACTGTGCTTCACTGTCTTTTCAATGCAGTGATGGTGGTCACAAGACTTTCCTTATAATGGTGTTGACAGGAGGCCAGACGCTTTTATCCACTATATAAAATGGCCAGTGAACATTGTGTGTAATGTCGATAACAGTGGTACGTTATGACAGATAACAGAGGTAATGTAATAAAATAGTGGCCAATTCATAGATACAAGTCTGTGGGGACTATTTTGCCTGCATGTATCCCTCCGCCAAAACTTTTTCGATGTGTTCACCATCAGCCAGTGTATTCATAACCATTTCATGTAATAGCTTCCTGCGAGGCAGCTTTAAAAGACATTAAGCTCTTCAGACGTCTGGTTCCTATCACCACCACTGGGAACAAGAATGGAGCAGTTCACATCCAACCACTCTGAATGAGTTTGTTTACATCTTAACTACTTAATGATGCAGACATTTGGGCACATAAAAAACTAAAAAGGAAACTATAAAAGCCTCACTCTAGTCTAAATGGGAACATCATGGTAAAATACCATTGGCATTGCAGTTTAGTCCAAGATTAAGGCTCAGAACTCTGTCCACTAAACTGGCCCCATGTCATTGCTAGATATGTATTGCCTCAAAAGGTCTCATAACCACTTGTTGTTGTATCTCAGGTCTCGCTACAGCGGCTATGAAATGTAAAGAAAGGTGTCTTTTGCGTGTTTCGTCATGTACATACAACTTTTCCTCACTAAACAGGTCACACAATGACCGATGACCAAACTATTCGTCACTGAATATCACAAAAAGTAGTGATACATGAGTAAACGACACTGTGCCTTTTATCACATATCGACTTTTTTATCGCTATTGTTTTTCTTTCATTTTGCTTTACACGGTGGACAAAATCTCTGAAATGAAAAACACTGAAGTAATTCTGCAATATTTAAGCTCTATCCCAAAATGTGATCCATGTGCTGGTATTACTGACAAGCAGACTTTCTACGTGCCTCAGCATATGTTTGTACAGAATGCAGAAGTTTTATATCAAGGTTTTCTTTATTAAGATATATAGCTTTAGATACAGGTAGAACCGCTACTTTTTTCAGTATAAGTCTGTATAATTATGTTGTGTCTATTTTTTGCATAAGATGAAGGAAGTGAATTGAACTTTAGGTGCAACTTTTGACATAAAAAAACAAGCTGTTATTGAATAATGATGGTAATTATTGTACTCTGTAAACGATGTTTGGCATATTTGTGAAATAAAACTATGAGAGACACATACAAGCTGGTCACTGCCTCCGATTTTTATGCACAAAGGCCATTTTACAAGGTACTCATACAGGGGACGAGGACACAAACCGAGACAAACAGACAAATGAGTAAATAAAAAAGAAGATTAAGAAATATAACCACAGCCCTGCAACATGTGTTCAATGCCAGTGTTCTGCTCTGTGTGCAGATTCAGATCATGGCATCGAAGCAGGTACAAATACGTTCTTTAACAGAACCTTCTTTCATCCATCGTTATACAAAAGCTGCATCTTTCAGGCCACAAATGCTGAAACTGGGCTGGTACCCTTAAAGGTACACTCCTAAAAAAAGATGGTTCTTCAACGGTTCTTTGGTAAAGAAATGGTTCTATATAGAATGCTCAAAGAACACTTTACATGATTAAAGGGTTCTTCGCATCATGAAAGTTCCTAAAAATGTGCTGTGGATGGTTCTCCATAGCACCAAAAAGGGTTCTTCTACTGTTACGATATCAAGCTTGTAACAGTAGAAGAACCCTTTTGAGTGCTATATAGAACCCTTTTCAAAAAAGTTCTATATAGAACCATCTACAGCACATTCTCCATCAGTCTGAAAAATGCTTTCATGATGCAAAGAACCACAAAGGGTTCTTTGAGTGTTGATGGTACTATACAGAACCTTTAAAATCAATACATTTGTATATCTAATAGTAGCTGTCATTTATGATTATAGCGATTGTTTTCAGTTATTTCAATGCAACCCAACTATCCAGTTATGATTGTAATGTATTATTTCAAGTTATGATGTGATGAGAACAAAGTGGGATGAAGACATATTGGCGTAAACAAGGCAATTAAGCGACGATCTCCATTATGAAGTTGAGGGCCTTCAGTGTGAGTTTCTGCCTGTTGAGAGGAAAAATCAAATAAAGTCATCCAAGATCAGCAAAACGTTCATATTTTCAGTCAGATCTAAAAGCCCTGACATTATTTGTACTCAAGTAAGTAATGAGTACTTAATTTTTACCATTAAGTACGCATTACTTAAGTCGTGGGGGCAGTCATGGGCTGGAAGTTAGGGAACCAGTCTTGGAAGGTTGCCGGCTCGATCCCCTGAGACAACAGTACATGACTGAGGAGCTCTTGAGCAAGACACCTAACCCCCAACTGCTCCCCGGGCGCCATGGATAGGGCTGCCCACCGCTCCGGGCAAGTGTGCTCACTGCCCCCTAGTGTGTGTGTGTTTTTACTTGTGTGTGTAGGTGGTGTTTCACTGCATGGATGGGTTAGATTACTAATAAGGGTCACTTACTCTTAATTACTTACCATTAATTACTACTTTTTGTATCCCTCCAAATAAAGTGATGGTCTTCACTACTTAAATATTAATAACACTACAAATTCATAGAAATGTATGATGATTCATAGTGAAGTGTGTACATTGCCTGCACACACTTCACTGTGAATTACAGCAGAAATTTAAGTGAAATACAGGCTGCTTATTTAAAGACGTATGTGGACAGTTACCTTTGTAAGCATAGGAAGGAAATATGCTATTACATACTATTATCTCAATATCCAAAATTTGACGCGAGAATGGTTCTGTTTAGAGTGATACCATGGAAACACACTTCTGGATCCCTAAAAAAACCTGTCATTGAATGAGATGTGCAAGTATGAAGGACTTAGGGTTAACACCTCAAAATGAAACCTGTTTTCGATTAATCAGTCACTTTTTCCCCGCATTCCAGCATCTTATTAGACAGTTGTTACCTAAAAGTTGTTAGGGGACCCAAGCAGCTGCTTATGTCGATTATTAGATAAAGCCAGCTCTGCTGCTTGCTGAGATACTAGCCATGCCCCACTTGGCATCGTTGTGGTCTAGTGCTCTTCATTTGCGTGCATCTGCGAGGCCTTAGGGTATCTCGATTCTCATTTTGCTTTTCAAAGGGAACCCGCTGTACGCCTCAATGTGCCAGCATCGTACTCGAAAATCCTTGATATGCAAGGAATGGAGGAGTTGGTTCACAACTGCCTGTACATCATGTGAGTGGAGTGTGATTTAAATCTGGTGCCATTAGGGTCTCTTGCCCCTTTGCACGTTCACAGAAGTACAGACTTGCAGGAGGAAGGTGCCGTTTTGGGACAGTTCAACTGATTTGACTGAGAGAGGTCAGCAGACCCAATGGCGACAGAATGGACTCTGTTTATCAACTGATAATGTTCTGATACTTGGTTTGATACAGGTTGCGTGAGATCCACTGATTGCAGACGTTTCCCTTGGCTTGTCTACCCGTCTATCCGATCCAGTACTAGTTCCCATATTTTGTGCCAAAGATCGGCCAGAAATGGTTTATTTCAGGACCAGTCTGGGCAAGATATCCTCCTGACATGTGTGTCCGTATCTTACATTTTCATCTCTAATCTATTGTCTGAAGCATATAATTACATGAAATTATGCCAACATGTACCTGAAACCACGTCAGCACAGTCTGTCATTTCTATAACTGTCTTTATTTGGGGAGAAGCTCATCACCGTATTATTCCTATCCGTGGATTGTTTTGTATCACCAGTCTTTTGCATGTGCATTAAAAATAACCAAAGGTCTCCCTTTATTGAAGAGAGGAAAAAAGACTTCCCACCAGTCCAGACTTCCAGCACGTTCACGTTCAGCATGAAGTGCTTTCCTCTCAACTGCTCACCTTTTCAGGGTTGTGACAATTCTTGCACAATTCTCTATTTTTTGCACCATTCTGAGAAAAATGAGGTCGGATCACTTAAAGGCCAGCATGCACATGTGAAATGGCAGATATAAGCAAAACATCACTCTTCATGTTGCCCGAATGTCATGAGTACACAGTGATTTGCTGCATCAGGAAATCTAAAATTTCACTACTACTTGATTTCATTATTTTGGTACAGTTCAGATTGTTATTTTTTAATACAGTGAATTAGCAAATGTGACTGGAGGAACATTTTTTACAGTAATTGAACATGTACTCAAAAAATAATATGTTTGCTTGTTTAACCTCGGTTCAAAAAAAGCTTGGACAATAATAAAAACTGAAAAACAGAAAGTGGTCATAGAAAACAAAACTGTGATATTTGATGTTTTACCTTATGAGCTTTATTTATTTATAATTGCAGCATGTTGGGAAAGGAGGATGTTTATCACTGTGTTATATCATTTTCCTTTTCTATAACTTTTAATACATTTACATACACCGATCAGGCATAACATTATGACCAAATATCCAGCCAACAGCGTCCTGTGGGCAGCGTCCTGTGACCACTGATGAGGGCTTAGAGGATGACCAACACAAACTGTGCAGCAGCAGATGAGCTAACGTCTCTGACTTTACATCTACAAGGTGGACTAACAAGGTAGGAGTGTCTAATAGAGTGGACAGTGAGTGGACACTGTTTAAAAACTCCAGCACTGCTGTGACTGATCCACTCGTACCAGCGCAACACACACTAACACACCACCACCACGTCAGTGTTACTGCAGTGCTGAGAATGATCCACCACCCAAATAGTACCTGCTCTGTGAGGGTCCATGGGGGTCCTGACCACTGAAGAACAGGGTAAAAGGGGGCTAACAAAGTATGCAGAGAAACAGATGGACTACAGTCTGTAACTGTAGAACTACAAAGTGCACCTATATAGTAAGTGGAGCTGATAAAATGGACAATGAGCGTAGAAACAAGGAGGTGGTCATTATGTTATGCCTGATCGGTGTATATGAACTCGAAGTAGTCATCCAAGTAGTATATAATTGATCGTAATCAATCCTAACATTTCAAAATCACTGCCTCATCGTACCCACGAGAGTGAATTATTAGCATTATTCGGCCATTATGTTTTTCTACGAACAAGTTTATAAGCAAATGTGAGTGAATTTCACAACACAGCCATTCAGGCCCTCACATGTAAAAGCCCCCAAGCCAAACCTATTATGCCACGACAAGATATAATGACGTGAATCAGAACACTGCGGTGATTTGATGGTTGCATTTCTATGTGGTTTCATGTCATTGATTATGAAGAAAGCGCTGTTGACCCAACAAACATTAAACACACACAGTAAATCTCAGTGCCTTATGGGGAGTTTAAAGCAGCGCAGACTTGTGGTGTAATCTTTATATTCAAACAACTGCAGTGCGCTTCCAGTGTCTACTGTGTGTTTACATAACATAATTGCTATGTACTCAGCTTGCATAGCCACACACACACACACACACACACACACACACACACACACACACACAAACACACATACATGGCCTCTCTCTCTCTCTCTCTCTCTCTCTCTCATGATGAACAACATTACAAACCGGAGCACTCTCTTTGTTTAACTTTTCCGTGCGACATGAAAGACCGAAATGCGAAACCCCATAGATCACTGTCAGCGCTAAGTCCTGCACTGATCCTGAGATTTTGTGCATTTGTCAGCAGGTAAAGTGTGTTAGGATTAGTCAGACTGGTATAATACTCTGTCACAAAACAAAAAAAAAAGACCTCAACACAAAACCCGAATCTGTACCTACATCATTTTGTATTGTGTATAAATGAAACGAGATTACAATAGTCTAAAAAAAGCAATCGACTTTGTACCTTATAATATAAGGTCCATATCCTACATGTGTACTTTATTCTTCCCATTGACATCCACTTACAACACTTGTGCGGCTCTATGTACCAAAAATAGTCATACTTATTTATTTCATTCTATTATTTGCACAGGAAGGTACAGCAAGGAATGCAGAAAACAAACAAAAACCAAAAAAAGGGAGAGAATGAAAAAAAGAGGATTTTTTTTTTTTAAATGCCCAGAAACGGCTTGTACAAGGTATTTTCCCTTAGAGTTAAAATGTATTGCATTAAAGAAAAACAATCAGACAAAACAGATGCAAAAAAGAAAAACACACGGACAGATATTTTACGTTTAAGTTTACAATTTATTTTTACCCGACTAACCCAACCTTTTTCTTATTCGCTGTCCTATATTGTGCCAGTCCAGGCCGAAA